CACACACAGTCACAACAACACACACAGAGTCAAACAACACACAGAGTCACAACAACACACACACAGAGTCACAACACACACAGCCAGAGTCACAACAACACACACAGAGTCACAACAACACACACAGTCACAACAACACACACAGAGTCACAACAACACACACCCAGAGTCACAACAACACACAGAGTCACAACAACACACAGAGTCACAACAACACACACAGAGTCACAACAACACACACACAGAGTCACACAACACACACAGTCACAACACACACACACAGATCACAACAACACACACAGAGTCACACAACACACACACAGAGTCACAACAACACACACAGAGTCACAACACACACACACAGAGTCACAACACACACAGTCACAACAACACACACAGTCACAACACACACACAGAGTCACAACAACACACACACAGAGTCACAACAACACACACCAGAGTCACAACAACACACACCATAACACACAGAGTCACAACAACACACACCAATAAGGAAAAGTTCAATTTAAATGATTTAAAATATACATTTGTCTAATTTTCCTTATGTAAAATATTCTTTTAGTTTTATTGCTGTCATTTTGTTCAAGACTGAGGAATTGATTAAAGTATAATTAATTATAAACAACTAACACTTCCTGTTTGGGTTTTATATGTCTGTAGAGTCAGAATCTCACCAAACGTCACTTATATAATCTGCAAATTTATCATATCATCATCTGGAAGTTTAATCTGGCTCCTCAATGTTGCTTCAGCTTTATTCAAGTGTATAAGAAACTCAAAACAATGAGTCAGGCTGAAGTTTTCGTTAATCTATAATTAACTCAAAGTATTTTAATAATGAACATGTTCTACAAACGGACCAGAATTGATCTAAAAACATTTAGTAGTTTAATAAGAACCCAGAAGTATCAGGAAATGCAGAGTTACATAATGAAAAGCTGATGCCTGTCAGCATTTTATGGAAATATTTTTTTTGTTAAAGAAAAAGTAGCAAAACGTTTTTAATATTCACTTTAGTCTAAAGACAGATCAACAGTCATCATAAAACGGTTAGTAAAAAAGGATCTAATTTATGTACAGAAGAGACTGCAGTAACCATCCTTTGGTAAAACTATTAAATGATGGGATGACAGAAATAGGACATTTTCAGATTAACTTGATGTAGTGATTATCAAAATGCTGTTTCATTTTTGTTTACTTCTGAATAACATTGTTTTTAATTTATTTATGATGCTGCAGTTAGTCAATACAAAAAGGCTGCACAATTACACATAACCAAGACAATTTTTACAGCTTACATCTAATTTTCAGACAGATTTTCATCAGGATTTCACAGAGACACCTATTTAGGTGGTTAGCAGTCAGCTAACTTTAGCATCGCAACATGATGAACCGTAGCACCCAGACAGCAGGCCGTCAAGCAGAAATGCAACAACATCCGTAAAATTTTAACACAAATGCGTAATCTAGTTTAAGATATAAATTGGTCACAACCGTAAAAAATTATTTTTATCTCTCTCTAGACGGGATGCTAACGCTAACAGCAGCCGCACCGGGCGGAGAATGAATTGGCAGGTTTTCCGAGTAAACTGCTTTAAACAGCTGAAAAAAACAAAAAGAATCGACCTTAAACTAAGTTTGAAGAAGAAACTCCAAACACATTACTTCACTAAAGTATTTTATTAAAGTAAACAGCATAACAACGGTTAAAAACGGATCTTACCGGCTCTTTTCTACAACACGCAGTCCTCCATGTTAAAATTCTCTAGCTTGACGTGTTGACGCAATGCGTCAGCGTCAGGGTTTATGGGTAATGTATTCTTTCCTTCAGTTCTTAGTGTTTCCGGGCAACTTGCATAACTAATGGTGGGAAAGCACCTGAACATTTGAGGAGCATGTAAAACTAGGCTGGATTTATTAAATATCAATAAAATTTTATTATAAACATTGAATATGATTCACTTGTCTTCTGTTATCATTATTTTCACATAAAAAATATGTCCAGAAGAAGAGCCGCTCCAAGGCAAAAGCGAGTTGGTGCCCTAAATATTAAGGATTTGTTCTGTCAAAACAACTAAAGATGGTTGGAATTCTGCTTGAGGCATTTACAAATTTTGAAGCCATTTTAGATTAATAAAAACAACACTAATGGAAAAATGTAATTGGAGAAATAAGGGACAAAAAAACCCAAAAACTACTGAAACTGTTGGTGTTATGAAAGCTACGACACAATACGAAGTGAGACACTGATAATATTTCAGTTTGCCTAAAATGCAGGAACAGATGGAGATCACACAGAAAAATGAAGCTAATAAATCCAAAAATGATGGCGGTTGTATTATGATGTGGGCTGCAGCACATGTAGCTGCATGTAAACACATAAAACAACCGTTGTATAAGTTATGCAGCGGTTGTTTTATTGCACAGAACGAAACCTGAATATTATACTTTGAATAATTTTTGACGAAACATAATTTAACACAACAGTTGCTCTTCATGACTGAACCTGTTCAGTTAGAACAAGTTTTCTGTGTGACTAATGACAGCTGATGTGAGAGGCTGGTGGATTTTTCCAGTTTTTAGCAGTTAGATGTTATTTTTTAAGGGTGGGCGTAACGTGTTGAACAACATCCTGTTGAAGAGCGAGCGGTGGTCTCCACCTCTGCAACTTGCGCTGGTGGTTTCCCCTAATCCAGAATATCAGCATTAAGCCAGTTGTCATGGAAACATGTCACCTTTCGGCAGAGTGACAGAAAAGGAGGGAGAGTAAAGGTGTGACGAAATGGTTTCACCAGAACGAACTTCAGCAGACCGCCGCTGACATCAGAGCTCAGCAGGTGAAGAATCACAGCCTCGTTTTTTAAAAGTTCAGATTTCATTTAGAAAACAGGGAGCAGAAAGTTTCCTTTATTTTTCTTCTTCAAAAGACTTTTGGTGCAAATCAGAGAAAAGAAGCCACTGTGAGCCAACAATGCTTCATTTGGACAGGGGAAGGGGGTTTGCTGAATGCAAAGTTTACCACATCCTGTTAGGGTTTTTCTGGTATTTTCAGTTTCATTTGCGTGATGAACTCTGCCTGAATCCTCCGTGTCTCTGCATCCGTGTGGAAGTAAAAGCCGGCTGAGTGAGAGTCCTGTCAGGAACACGGAGCGTCCTCTTTCTGCAGCAGGAAACATGCAGGCTTTCAGCCGCAGTCGGAAGATGTTGCACGGCTGCTTCATGCTTTCAGGTAAAAACAAACCTCAGCTCAGCGTTAATTAAAGGAAATCAGAAAATATGTTTCGCTCCTCAGATATTTCAATCTATCTCCAATAAATTTAAATAAAGAAGCATTCTTATTTGTCAGCCAGCAGATTAATGTCATTTGGGTCATGTTTGGCTGATGCACCGTAAAAAGAGAAAGTAACAGAAAACTAAAGGAAATTTTCAAGTTTTAGACTTTAACTCAACAATTTCATCTTTGGAGACGATGATAATGTAAAACCCATTTGAGGAAAAATTCCTGAAATTATTCCAGTGTTTGGTTTTCATTTAACCAACAGGTTATTCTGACAAGAGATTCCAAAATCCTTTTACTCTCATTAAATAAATGTAAAACTTTACAAACAAAATCAGAAACCAACTCCAAAATTTAGTTTTCCTATTTTTCTCAACAAATAAAGAAAAAACCCTTAGATATTGAAGTACTGAGAACTCAATAAATAATGTTAAAAACTACCTCAGTTTTCTGGATTCATTAAGTTTTTGCAACTTAAAATATTTGTCAGCCAAAAATAGGTTGTTTCTTTTTTAGCTGTCGAGTTTCAGAAGGAAAACGAAGCAGGAGTTTCATTCAGATACGTTATAATTCATTTTATTTGTAGTTTCTGTTGTTTTGTTTTTTTATTTTGAACATTTAAAAAGTCTTCTTCATCATGTAAAGGTTTTAGATCCTTGAGAATACCATATCACTGAAAATGGCCTCAAAACAACGACAGCATAATTGATCACAGGCTTTATGAGACGGTTTTCTCTCATTTCTGCTCTGGCTGTTGTAGCGCTCGTTTATGTGTTTAAAGGTTTTATGGGAGAGAAAACGTTTTGAATATTTTGAGGCTTTAGTGGCACCACAAAATGAAGAAGGTGCTGCATGAACGCGAAAGCTCGTTAACCACCGGGCCCCGAACGCACCGGCCCGCCAGGAAGTCCCCGGTACCCCGACCGCCAGCCGCTCTGTCTGCAGCTCAACTCCATCAGCAGCAAACTTATTAAAGTTATAATGTATGGATCATGATGCAGTGGGATTCTCTGCTCATCTTCAGCTATTTATGACTGTTATGTCTTCCCATAGAAAATAATTGTACCTTTAACGGTTTGAATTTAAAAAAACTATGAAAATAATAATAAAAATGCCTCTCTGTAGATTTTTTGCCTAAGTATGCCATAAATATAGCAGATAAAACATATAATTGCTGCTTTTTAAATCTTTTAATCCGACAGATTCAGGGTTTCAGTTGAGGCCGGAGATTATTAAGCTTTTACAGAGAGAAGATGAAACAACAACAACATCGCAGCTGAGATTCATTTAAAATGCCACAGAACAATCTCTGTCCCACTTCATGTTTCCTTTCCTGTTTTTCAGTTTTTGTTCCTGGATTCATTTTTGACTCTATAATAGTTTGATGCAGACGTCGTTTCTTCATATGTTCCCTCCAATTGGTCAAAATTTATTGCAACTCTTTAATGCGAACTCTGCAGCTTGGTAAGAGTGGAGCTGCAGCTTTCCGCAGTTTGAATGCGATGCATTGCAGATTTATCAAAAAAACAGTGAAAAAGATCATTAAAATAATCCACTTAAGAGGAAAACATGCAAAATGGTTTCCAGTTCACACAGATACCACAGTTCAGCTTCAGCTTTGTAGAGATTAAACAGTTTTGAGTGAATTACCTGGAATAAAGATCAAGAGACATGAAACTTCCTGAGATTAGAATGAAACTAAGATCATATAACTGAAATCTGTCTGATTTCAGGAATATTTTCACCTGTAAACAGATTAAAATGAGCCATAATCTTAATCCTGACCATTTGAAAAAACCTCAGAGGATTTAAAGAACAGGATAACTGTAAGTCATCAACACAGAATTGATAAGAAACACGACTGAAACAGCATAAAGGAGTAAAGAAGTGGGCGCGGGACAGATCCCTGAGGGACACCAGGAGTCAGATCTGATGGATATGATGAATCATTTTATCAATGCAGGTCCTAAAAGATGAAAATTAGGATTTAGGCATATAGAGAACCCCAACAGTATCACTTATAAATAACAGGTCAGAAGTAGAAAATGTTTTATTTCTCTTGCCTTTCGGATTATTCACTGTAATCTGCATTAATATCAGAAATCGTGCTGAAGATTTAATCTCTAGACTTTTTCACTCCTGATTTTCTTTGAAAAAATGTTTCATTCCCAAACATTTCAAAACTAAACATGTAAAATCTGCACATTTAAACATTTAACTGGCTGAATTTAGGGATTTATTCCATTTCTTGGTTTTCTGTTTTCTCCAGCAGCTGGGGGAAAGTCAGATTCTGCTGAACTCTGACCTTTAGAAACTGGCTCCCAGAATGAGTGTTGCTCACCACAGGATGCTGGTTCCACATCAGTTAAACCAAACCGACCCAGAAATAGATGGAACCTGTCTGTTTCCACTGCTGGTTTATTTCTCACCATGTCAGAAGCTCTTCAGCTTCAGCTGTGGTCAGTGCTAATAACACAGCTGATATTTAGCTCACCATTTTAGCTAACTTTGCAATAGCAGTCCTATCTTTCCCTAAATTAATTTTTTCAGACAATTTCCAGAGCTCTAACCCTCCTGGCTGATTTGATGACTTGAGTTGAGTAAAGTTGCTGCTTCTAAAGGTTTTCTGTTTGCGTCCTTGTTTCTCAGTTTGCTGCGGTGGTTTTCCAGCCGCCGAGGCCGAGTTCTCCCTGCTGCAGCCTGCGGTGGTCGCCGGCCCGCTGGGCCACAGCGTCCTGCTGCCCTGCCAGCTGCAGGACTCCCAGCAGGAGAAGCTCCTCAACCGGCCCGTCCTGTACTGGGAGGTCGATGGGAAACAGCTCCAGTTTAACGAGAACAAAACCTCCTCCAGTTCCAACAAATCTATTGAGCTGAAGGAGGTGCGATGGTCCGACGGCGGGACGTACGAGTGCAAACTGTCCATGAGAACCGACAAGAGGGGAAGCTTCAGACTGAAGGGAAACAGAACCAGGCTCATCGTCCACGGTAGAGTCCAAACCTCTGCTGCCTGAGAAGGAAGTTTGTTCGTTTTCAGCAGGATTTCATAGAAATGATGAGTTTTAACGAAGCTGACTGAGCAGCTGGACGAATTACAGACAGAAATATGAGAATGAAGAAAACTGTTTTCTATTTTTACCTAATCACAGAGAAAACAGAGGAAATCAACTAAAGTTCATCTTAAAAGCAACTGTGTTTCATTTCAGATACCATGACCTTTGACCTCTGCAGCCATAATGATTCCCTGCTGCGCTGCGAGGTCAACGTGTCGCAGGATCCGGGTTTGACTCTGACTCTGACCAGAAACGGCTGCGTGGTGCAGAGCTCCGCCCCCTCAGAGCACAGCGCCACCAACGACCCCGCCAACGACCCCGCCAACGACCCCGCCAACGACCCCGCCAATGACCCCGCCAATGACCCCGCCAACGACCCCGCCAAGAACCCCGCCAAGAACCCCGCCACTCTGGCGGCCGCCGTCCCTGTGACGGGCAGCGGGCAGTACGTCTGTCAACTGAAGCTGCACGACGTCCTGATAACCAGCAGCAACTTCCACAGCCAGCAGGCGGGTAGATATCAGCTTCAAGATGACGAAGAATAAATTTACTGTCAGATTTTTCTGTCTAATGCAAAAACGGTTTGAAATAAAAACAATCCCACCACAGGAATTAGGATCATTATTATTTTCATTTCAGCAGCAGGAGAAGCTGGAAAAGATGCAACAACAACATGGAATTCTTAGCAACTTTCACTTTTCTTCCTGATGAAACCGTTGTTTTTAGAATTTCTGGGAGCTGTAGTTAAATTCCCAGGATGCTGCAGTTCCAGCTGTGAGTTTCTGTAGTTAAATTCCCAGGATGCTTCAGTTCCAGCTGTGAGTTTCTGTAGTTAATTCCCAGGATGCTGCAGTTCCAGCTGTGAGTTTCTGTAGTTAAATTCCCAGGATGCTTCAGTTCCAGCTGTGAGTTTCTGTAGTTAAATTCCCAGGATGCTTCAGTTCCAGCTGTGAGTTTCTGTAGTTAAATTCCCAGGATGCTGCAGTTCCAGCTGTGAGTTTCTGTGGGCAGGTGAGCGGCGCCGGTACCCGGAGCCGTGGCTCCTCTACGCGGGCCTCCTGCTGGTTCCGGCCCTGGTCCTGCTGGTCTTGGCGGCGGCCGTGCTGATGTGCAGATGAGCTCTCCGGTCCTCCAGGTGGCCCGGTTCTACTGGGCCACACGCAGCTCTTCAGCTGGGATTCGCCCCCCTCGTGTCCATGACAACCAGAGGACCAGAACCGGTTTGAATCCCGGCCCACTCGTCTCGGTTCCTCTTCCTCTGAACTCCAGTTCTAGTTTCTATGAAACTATTAGATTAAATTTGTCATTAAAAACTTTAAAAATTGAAACTTTTCTGGCTTCATTTCAAACATTCTGGTTGGTTTTATGGTTTTTGATCATTTTTTTATTGAATTCATTTGTTTTGACCAAAAACATGGCTAAATTTGTATTTTTGTGTATTTGTTATTTTTGTTATTTTTTTCTTGAAATGTGCAGCACAGTCAAAGTTTTAGATACTGGAGCTCCAGTCGGTGTCTGCCTGTTGCATTGCATGAACTTTATTGTGTTATTGTGGTGAAACGGCTCCATTTCTGTCTCGTCTGACCTTTGAACTCCAGAAAAGGCCATAAAAAAACCAATAGATTTTATTTTGACTGTTTTTTCCTTGTTGTTATTGGTGAAGAGATGCCTGTTTTTTTTTCCCTAATAGAATAAAACTTCCTGTTTGATTGAAGCATCTAGAAATCTGGCCATTTTCATTTCATCTGGAGAAATGTTCCCTGAAATTGTTTGTGAAGTTACACTGTAAAATATGAACTGCGATAGTTTTGGTTTATGTCATAAAGACAAAATTTAGTTTTCAAACTAACTTTTTAGTTTGTGAATTAAACATTTTCTTCAAAATGTAGACAGCTATAAATATGACTTTGACAAATGAACACATTATTTTCTTCAATAACCAAATGACTGCTGTTAATGTTTTAAGCTGAGTTTGACCTTTGATCCCAATCTCTTTCCTGTCAAAACATTTCATGTTTTTTTTTCTGCTGCTAAAATTCTGCAGAAACTCGGAAACTTCCTGCTTTCCTGGAAATGAAACAACAGATTAGTAAACCTGAGACTCTGCTGCGGTTCATGGCGGCCAGACGCTCTCCGAACTGCCTGACCCCTGACCCCTCTCGCACGCGCTCACACCTGTCATGTGACCTGTGTGCAAACAGGAGGCAAAATGAACCATCAGTGGCTGCAAACAGGCAGATTTTGATTGAAAGGGTTTGGAAGCAACTGAACGCTGAAGCTCCGGTTTAGAGGTGATTCTTGGTTTTGACAGAAATAAAAATCTTTTTACAATCCTGACAGAAACAGAAAAACCTGATTTGATGTCAGATGGCGAGAAAACCGGGCAGTGTTTTTTATAAATGTCTGGTTTTGATGATAAATGAAGGTGAAATGTGTAACTTTATGAGTTTAGATGGTTTTCATGAAGCAGCTGGTCTGGGTCTCCTGCTGGGTTTCCAGTGGCGTCTTGCAGCTGCTGCGCGTTGCTCCGTTCCTGCTGCGCTCCGAAACGCCGGATCTTCCTGGAGTTTGGAGGATTTAAATTAGTCAAGGATGGAACCAAAACTGAGATCAACGTCCAAAAAGAGTCTGGATGATGAAAATCTGGCTTCTTGGAGGGAAATGTATTATTTAAACAATAGTCTTATAGCCTATTATTATTATTATTTATCATTTTCTTATTATAAATGATAATAAAACGGTTTTATTATCATTTTATAATAAAACCATTATAAAATGATAATAGACATAAAACTATTATTTAGTCAAAAATGAATACAGGATTGTTTAAACTGGCTCCAGGCTGCAGAAATGTCATAGTTCATCTTAAATACCATCTGCATGTTTTTTACCATAAATGTTTGCAGCTTCTGCAGATGAAATGTGAAACAACGAGACAAACACATTTTGTTCTCGGGGATTTTAAAATGAATCAGTGTCTCTCAGTGTCTGCAGAGGTTTCTGTGTCGTTTCCTTCAGTGGTTCTTGGTGCAGAAAACAAACGGGACATTTCATTTTTGGAGCTTTAGTAGCCGTTTCGTTTCGTGTCTATTGAGTTTTTTAGCGCCACAGGAACTGTTTTGGTTGATTGAGTTGTTCTGATCTGACTTGAAGAAGACAAAGCCTTTGACCTGCACTGTGTGGCCGTATGTAAATAAAATAAAACAAACCAGCAGGAACTGGAAGCAGACAGTCAGCATGTTGAGACGTAAATGCACTTGTGAAAAGCTGTGAACTCTGAGAGCAGCTCAGTCTGAACCTCTGTGCTTCATTGAGCTGCACAAGCAGAGCAAATGTAAACTTGACTCCTGCATGGATCCTCACCCACCGGGGTCCATGTGGGTCAGGGGAACTTCAGTGGTGTGATTGGTGCTTCCTGTTCAATGCATCAACTGTCAAAACCATAAAAATCAAAAACCCATCGTTTTCCTGGAATAATTCATCCCCGCCAGCAAAATGACTCTTCACTGGGGGAAACGCTGCTGTTTCCGTAGCTCAACATAACGTTGGTGTCATGCATGTTGGTGTCTTACTTTTTAATGTCCTGAGAATCGATCAGCACCAGCAGACAGGATGTTGCTGTTCCTCTGAAAGCCAATAGTTTCTCACTTTTTTAGATGTTTTAAAATCTAAAAACTGAGAAAACATGAACTTTATTCTCTCACAAGTTCAAATCTGAGATTTCTCTGCTGTGTCCTCCGTGATGCTGTTTGTTCTCTGATGAACCAATGAAGCAGAATGACCAAAAGCAGCTGCTGTCCTGCCTTTTGGCCTGTAGGTGGCAGCACCGTCCTGCAGCTCGATGGGCTGAAACGGAAACATGAAGATGCATCCTGTAGGTTGATTTTCTGTCTCTGTTTGATGAGTTGATCTCCTGATGATCAGCCTGGTTTTCATCCAGTTGGTTCTGATTGGTCCAGTTGAAACTCTGTTCCTATTATTTCTGCTTATTGTTTTATTTTTGCTCACTTTGTGTTTCATTTATTGTTTTATAAAACAGTTCAGTCCAGAAGGATTATCAGAGTGCTGGTGAAACTCACCATTAGCTTCAGCTAGATTCCATATCAGTTAGCATTTTAGCAGTTGCTAAAGCTAAATGTTGCGCTGACAAAGTATTTTAGCTTTAGCCTGAGTGGAGCGTATCAGTAGTGAATAACGTGTTACTGTAGCTCTGCAGCGTTAGCGCTGGCTAAATGTCGTGTTTTTATAGCGTTTATTCTTTCTGCTAAATACCATGTTGGTATAGCAGTTTAGCATTAGCTTTCATCACCATGTTATTTCACGTTAGCATTAGCTCCTGCTAATGTAGGGTTAGCCTTTTAGCTGTGGTGTTGTCATTTGATGGTGAGGGGTTTGTGCTGCTGACTCTCTGCCCAGTCAGGAGGATTTAAAACTTGCCTGCAGAAATGAATCTGCTGCTTTTATGTTTGTTTCTTAAAATCGTGTCATAACTGTTGAACATGGAGCCGTTTATTGTGACGCTTTGCCTTTTCGTCCTGTTTGTGTTTTTGCATCTCTGCATCATGTGGGACTTTCAGAGGACATGGACACGTCACATAGGAAAATCTGATATCATAGCAACACCTCTACGGCTCCCTCCCCCGTCCCGGACGCAGCATCAGTCCGTCAGTCTCCGCGCGTCGCTGTGAGGGAATAAACGCTCCGTCTGCAGCACGACTGCAGCACAACTGCAGCACCACTGCAGCCCGTCTGCAGCACATCCGCCTGCTGGATGGTGGGATGCAAGCCGCTCACCTTTGACCCATCAGGGGTTTTGGAGAGAATATCAGATTTTTCTGTGGAGGAAGCAGAGAAATGTGAAAGTGAAAGCAGGTGAAACCAGAAACCGACTCTGCTTCCATTTATTCATTTGGACCGGCCGTCCTCCATCAGGTCCTCGGCCCCTCCCCCTCGGTGGCAGTGGACACTCCCCTCTTCATCAGGAGGAGAGGAAGAGGAGGGCAGACCACACCCAGAGTCCCAGCAGCTCCGTCCTGCTCTTTCTGGCTGCAGAAGGTCCGGACGTGTCGGCGCTGGCGGCTGCGTGTGTTTGGTGCCTGAACGGATCCGGGATGCTGCTGCTGCTGCCTCTGACCCTGCTGGCTCTTCAAGGTGAGTGGCTGTCTGCTGATCTCTGGCTTCACCAGGATTCCTGTTTGTTTTACTGGACTGAGCCGCAGGAACAAGGTCAGCATGAACTTTCATCTTTTAACCAACACTTCCTCAGGCGTTCTGGGACTTTTCCTCACACTCGACCTTCATGCTGCAGAAATATCACCGTCACGGATTCTAAAAACTCCCAGCTTGGAAACCAAAGTATGAAAACGCCAAACAAATAAGAGCCAGAAAAGAAGCTTAAAGACGAGCTGTGAACTTCTGGACGCCTCCATCAGTCATAAAATATTCAGATCAGGCAGCAGATAGAAGCTGGACAGGAAGGAAACGATGAGCAGCGATTAAAGGTTGAGAACCAGACAAGAACCAAACGAGGCTGAACATGTCGCCAAAGAGGGAACAATTCTTCTTTTATTAAACAGTGAACAGTTTGGGAGTCTACAACAAACCGCTGTAAAATATTATTATTTTACTTATTTTCCTGAACTTTTCCTTTATTTACAGCCGTTTTTATTCCTGAAAATTTGAGCAAAAGGCTGAAAATGCAGAAAAGATGCAAAAAGTTGCAACTGGTTAAGTGATGCTGCTTAACGAGGAGTTAAAACTTCCTCCTCTAAAAGCATTATTTCCATTAAAATGCCGTGAAACATCATAATATGTTTATTTTTATTGACTAGCTGGAAGGATGAATGTGAAGGTTCATTAAAATAATGAGGGATGAAAAGCATGAAGAGGGACAGCTGAGAAAAACATGCAGTGAAGCAGAAACAGGATGAAAAAGATTCCATATGATAGTTTGGCTTAAATAAATCAAACAGTTTATATTGAGGACTTGTTTTGTTTTTTGTGAAATTCAACCAACAACCAAAATATTTCTTTAATATTTAGTGATTTAGTGTGAGATGGGTTTTTTTATGTGTTTTTTACATGTGCTGGTCTGAAGCTGATAAATCCTCTGAAAACGCAGAACGTTCTCCGCCAGACGTTCACTTGCAGTT